CCATCTGGGGGTCTAGTGGAGTGTTAAAATCACCTCCCATGATGATTGCCCCTTCCGCGAAGCCCTTCAGTTTACGCAGAATTCGTCTGAGGAATCTGGCCTGGTTTGTGTTGGGAGCATAAATTGACACGAAAGTGTAAAGTTTGTCCGCTATGGTGCCTTTCAGGAAAAGGAACCTCCCCTGCGTGTCGAATATCTTGTCTAATTCCTTGAAGTCCAGATCAGCTGACAGGATGATGGCTACGCCCGCTTTACGAGCCGTGTTGTGGTTGCTGAAGTAATTGTTGGGGTAGTACCGGTTCCGCAATTTAGGTGAGAGGCCCTCTAGGAAATGGGTCTCCTGAAGCATAGCAACAGATATTTGTGTCTTCCTCAAGTCGCGTAGCAGATGTGTGCGGCGCTCGGGAACATTCAGTCCCCTGCAGTTGAGGGTAAGGACACGTAGTGGCGCGTCGTGGTAGGACGCGGACATCTCTGTAGAGCCCCGAGAGCACGCGGAGAGCTTTGCGTTTGAAACTCACTCCCTTCGCTACAGTTAGCTACAGGGACACGTTGAGGTCCTATCCGTTATCTTATGTCTTTTGGCGTTAACGGGAGCGCGGTGCCGGAGAGCTAGACTACGTACCCCCACACCGGGCTCAGGGTTATCGGTGCTAGGGTTGTCTTGTATATGGGCGACCCCTCCTCCTTTCCTATGCCCCCCTGTACAGACTGGTTGCAAATTCGCTACCGCTTTCGCGACAGTCAAGGACTTATATGACTGGTGTTTGGAGGGTGTGGTTTCTGTGTGTGGCACTCGTCCCTGTCGGGGATGGAGAGTGGACACCAGGGAAGTGTGAATGATATAAAATTAAAAAAAATAAAAAATAAAAATTAAGAGAAATTTTTTTTTTGATTTGGGGGGGAGGGTCGTAAAATCAGGACCTCAAGTGGAGAGGTTACTCTATGTGAGGGGACAGGGTGGGTTGAGGATTTCTCCTCAATACCTCCTCAGTGTTTGGAGGTATTAGTCGTGCGACAGCCGGATCTGCCGGGGGCCACTCCAGTAACCAGACCGGGATATGGTCCACCAGGTGCTCCGCTGTCAGAAGAGTTGCACGACCTTTAGGTGGAGTCAATGGCTCCGCTCCAGACCGGTGTGTGAGAGAGAGAAATGAGAACGATACCAAATGAGATTCCCCCCCACCAGCACCGCAGCCTAGTGCCATATGAAGTTTCTAAGTGTCAAGGCGCCACCCAACAGGGGTGGTACATGTGATCATGAATACAATAACAATTCAACAATATAGTAATACCATAATGCGAGTACAACATGAAGGTTCCTACACATATGACTTGTACCTTATCCCACCTTTTGGACCAAGCCCCGTCCGTTCCCCCCTCCTAGCGTCCTCTGTCTTCCCCCTGCAATGTGTGGCAGCCGTTGCGTGTCCTCTGAGCAGTCCCCCGTTCATCAGTCTGATTGTGCTTGCATGTCGATTATTGCGCCCCCCACCTAAACCCTCCTCTATCGTTCTGGTCCCCTCAATTATCTGTTAATGGCGGTGTGCCCTATCATTCAATAGTTAGGATGCCGTCTCCTACGTCATGGGGCGTTATAGTAAGTCAGGTCATCTCACTTATCTATGTGTCTGCTAAAGTGGGGGGGAGCACATATTCAGGAGGTGCGACATTCAACAGCTAGTATAACATGAGTATAACACCAGTATGAAATATAGAGGTTAGGCATGGCAATAAACAATCGTAACCTATCATGGATTTGGTGAATGAGACCTAGGCGGTGTATACCGGGTGATATCATCCCATACCGTGAGTCCACAGCTCAGATCTGCAGGAGAGTGGTGTAGTCCCGTTGAGTTCATTTCCAATATGAGTGAAAAAGTCTCCTGGGGTCAGTGATATAAAACGTGCCTTATGAGGTTATAAACAGGACCCACCCCAGTCAAAGAATCCCCTATAGCAGCCCACCTCCCAAATGAGTTTCCGCTGTGTCGTTCACTGGGTCAGATGTGTTCCCCAGCGCCTCCGTTAGGGGGAGAGACAGTTCCTTTTTTCAACATGTCTTGAAAACAAAGAGGATAGATAGAGCCTCAGACCGACTCTCTGGGAGGGGTATGGAGTCAGTTATAGGGATACAGTCATGGGATACCTTTTTTTTTTTTTTTTGTAAATCTTTTTTATTGCCCGGTGTGTATATGAGGGACTGCGTCAGTTCCTATCCTAGCGCCTGTGCAGGTTGGGGTGTCCTCCCCAGTGGGGTGTCCAGGGGGGGGTAGAGGGACCGCTAGAGGGCTCACCTGTCACTCTGGTGCCTCCGGGTTGATGCGTCTGCGGGGAGCCGGGCCTCTTGGTGGGTTATCTCCGCGTCTGCGGGGCGCTCTCTGTTGGCGTGGTCTCCCACCCAGTGGGCCTAGAACCCAATCTTGGACTGATATCGGAGGCAGGTCCATCTCCTCCAGGAACCGTGGGACCTCCTCAGGCCAGCGGATCGACACCCATCCATTCTGGTTGCGCGCCAGCAGGGCAAAGGGGAAGCCCCACCTGTAAGGAATATTCCGCTCCTGCAGGGCTGTGGTTATGGGCTTTAACGCTCTCCTGGCTTCAAGCGTGATGGGCGACAGGTCACTATATAGAGACACTGAGGCCCCTTGAAAATCCCAGGTTGGGCGGGAACGGGCCGCTTTCATGATAGCGTCCTTATCTCTAAAAGAGTGGAGGCAGCAAATCAAATCCCGTGGGCCTTCTTCCTGGGACCGGGGACGTAGAGCTCTATGTGCGCGTTCAAATTTGAGAGTCTGGGGTGCTTCCTCTCCCAATATCATAGGAATAGGTTAGATAAAATGTCTGCCGCATTTTCCTCCCTACCCTCAGCTTCAGGGACCCCACGGACCCTAATGTTACATCTGCGCCCCCTGTTATCTAGGTCTTCAACTGACCTTCTCATGTGGAGTAACAGCTCCCCTTGACGCGTGAGTGCTGTGTCTGTTGCTTGGTGTCTCGCAGCATGAGCCCCCTGTGTGCGTTCCAGTTCCTGGATGCGGCCCGCTTGCGCAGTTACCTCCGTCCGGAGCCCTGCCATCTCAGCTCTCAGAGCGTCCTGTATGGTGGTAGTCAGGACTAGTAAGTCAGCTTTCGTGGCCATTGCAGTTGCCATATTTCGGAGTTCTTCTCCAATCTTTTCCAGTGCAGCACCATGTGGTTCCCTGGGGGATGATGCCGTCGGCGCCATATTGGATCCGCTTGTTCCCTCTGTCGCATCAGGCTGGGTCTGGAGGAACCCGTCCATCGGGCCGTGTGTCTGGCCCAGCTGTGTACCCCTCGGGGTTTGGGGGGTCTCGGTGCGTCGGTGGCGCCCCATAGACGCTAGTGTTTGCTGTTTAGTAGGCTGTTTACAGCGCCGGTGGAGCGGAGCTCTCAAATCACGCGTCCATCCCGGTCAGAGCCTAAGCCACGCCTCCTAATAAAATCCTTTTCCATATAAATATAATTTGCTGGGCTTGATAACTGTGCAAGGACGCATTGACTTAGTAGATCATTAGGTTGAATATTTAAAGTATCTTCTGCGTTAGTTCCATGCATGTTAACCTTGTCTGATATAAAGGCATTGCTCTTGGCTTCCTCTTCTTATATCCTGCTGTCCCAGCATTTGTTACTGAGATTTTAAAACAGGGATTTCTATCTTCTATGACAGGGCTGCCCTGCTCTTTGATATGCCTGTTTTAGGTAGTTAAGCTCTGGATATACAATGTGGTTTGTATATAATGATCTTCATAACATTCATGCATTACTCCTTTGCCTATAGCTCTGGTGTACAAATGGTTAACAGCTGTAACATTGCAGTCTCGATTTGTACTATTTTGGTAAAATGTCTTCATATCGGAACCAATCTGCAATATGTAAGACAAGTAACACAAGGTTATGTAGCTAGCTAGAGGCTAGCCGTGTTCGGAATGTTGTTTGATATATATCTTGTTTTGTCTTGTTAATCACTTTTCTCCACCTTACTAGCAAGTGTCCTTGGACAAGACACCTAACGATATACATCTGCCTTCCTCAAAATCCTTATAGATTGTAAGCTCTTTTAAACAGGCTCTTCTTCACCTTCAAGCATCCCCCTTCCGTGACTGTAAAGCATGAAGGCAGAGCTTAATATGCTGGTGCCACATAAATTATTCTGTCTGTCTGTCTGTCTGTTAGTATCATAGTTTTCTAGTTTCGTGTATATTGCAGCTTTTACCCTCATTAAGGTCGACCTGTCAAGGTCAGTCAGTTCAGTCATGTTTTTTCCATCTTGCACAGCAGAAATATACATAATATATACATAATTATTATTATTTTTTTAATTGAGTCTCTTTGCTTGTCATGGGTGGCCATTTATGTTTTTGATATCCAATATCCTTTATACTATTGCCATTGGAGAGTGAAAATTCAATCCCAGCAATTAGAAATTGAGCCCTAGTGAGTGCACCATGGATCCACCAAGGCTTGCAATAGTGGGTAACCTTTAGGCATGTCTAGTAGTGTAGGGGTTAGAAAATAACCCCTACACTACTAGACACTACACTATTAGCCATATATGATGGTGACCATCTGTGTATTTATTAGTGGCACTCCTTGTACCCATATATAATGCCAGAGGTGCCCAGCCTCTTGGTATTAAATCCTGCCACTCCCCATCCTTCTTACAATGCCAGGAGATTGTAAGTTAATATCATGTTTATATACCACTGATGAATATGTGCCTTGAAAATATTTCTCTTATTGAACTGTTTCTTATTCAAACAAAGATTGGCAACCACTAATGTGGTAGATTTATACTACTTTGTTATAACTGTAAACATAAAAGGTGATTTTAGCCATTCACATTGCTCTTATGTTATGATGCAAGTGTTTACATGCCCTGTGTTTTTGCAAATTTAAACATGTATGTATGTGTGTGTGTGTGTGTATATGTGTGTATGTGTTTGTGTGTATGCACATATAAATTTAAACAGGTGTGTGTGTGTGTGTGTGTGTGTATGTATACACACATACACACATATACACATATATATATATATGTGTGTGTGTGTGTATACATACACACACCTGTTTAAATTTGCAATATATTCAGGTTATCTATGGTCAGTCCTGGGGTTCACTAAACATCAAATTGAATCCGTGAATTTTTTGGTAAATGTCTGAAACCCTATACTTTGTATAGAATTCTGCCATTTTTGAATTTATTTTTCTTAATATAAGGTGCTTCTTTGAATCTGTTTAGAACGTTCTATTATTATCACCAAATTTACCTTCACATTACTTTAATTACCAGAATTGCAGAGTTGTGATTTACCCTCACTGTGTTTTTCCCTGTGGACACCTGGTTAATATACAATGTGAGAGATCCACGTGCCTCTCTTTGTCCTGTACAGCATTCACTAACCAGCGTATTGTCTCCTGTAATTCAGTAGTTTCCTGGTAGTGTGTCATGAATGAATTAAGAATTGTTGACATTACATAGGGAAACCCAAGATGACCTGTGGAGTGAAAAACAGCAAGTCATTAACGAATTATGGTTGCTATGGATACTGTAGTCATGGGAAGCAGTTACCATGGAGATCTTCACAAAAAAATGGAAAATTGAGATAGATGTCAGAAAATGGGGTGGTATGACTTCTTTTAAGGGAAGCAATTGAGAGTGTTGTAAAGGCTTGCGTTCCTATTTATGTCATCATCTTTTGCTGCGAAATTATTATTAACTCTATGAGAGATAGTCGTGCATTGACATAGCTCTTTCACTCACAATCATTATTATTGAATCTTTAAATGTGACCTTATAGGGCTATTCACATAAAGGGATTTGCCGACACTTTACAGATCCTGAACGCTGCTGTATAATCTTATAACGGATAGCATTTAATAGCCCTTTGTCTCTGTCTGACTCAGGTGTCAGGGATCTGAAAAGTGTTTATAATCTCTGCTTTTTGTAGTGTTTCTTTCAGCATTTAATCTTATAGACGTTTTAGGTAAACTAAGGGGAAGGATGTCTACCTTGCAGGTGTGTAGGCATGTCATATTTCACTAAGTATATGTTTTAGAAAACCTGTGTCCTGAAACATTCTAAGCAAACACAGCACGCTGCCCCCAAATAAACGCTGACATAAAACCGTGTAGAATGGGTTGCTTCTCGAAAGCCTTTCCACTGCATTCTATTCTATACGACAGAACTGACAACCCCTTTATACAGGACACAAAGGGGTTTGAATAGATCTGTACTCAAACAGAGAAACCTTATTAATCTCTACATTGTGTCATAATTTAAGAAACATGCATTATTGGGCATATTTTCCAGCCTGCAGTTCTTAATTGGCTGCTTTTTTTTTTTTTTTTGGTAAAAGAATACTATATGCATTAAACAACCTTAGCTTAATTAAGCAGTTTTGGTTTATATATCATGCCCCTGCAGAGTCATTGTTCAATTCTCTGCCATTTAGGCATTAAATCATTTTTGTTTCTGTTTATTCAGTCCTAGCCACACCTTCCCTGCATGTGACTCCCACAACCTGCATTGAAAAAAAGATTTAATTTTCAATCTGATATTAACTTGCTTTAGAAGTTTTTTAATCTCCTGATCTGTAACGTAAAGTATAGTTAAACACAAGAGGCTCCAGCAGTGTCTAGAAAGCTATTAACAGAGCAGGAGACAAGAAATTGTAGATTAAACAGACTGTGGTATAAAGGAACCTAAAATATATTCCTTTTCAGGAAGTGTTTAGGAAGGCTGTGCAAGTCACATGCAGGGAGGTGTGACTAGGGCTACATAAACAAAGTGATTTAACTCCTAATTGGCAGAGAATTGCCTGCAGGGGCATGGTCTGTACACCGAAATGTCTTCATTCATTAAACTAAAATTGTTTTGGTGCTTATTGTATCCCTTTAATCTTTTTGGAACACACACACACATATATATACGTGGACGTATATAACATGTGTGTGCAGTTTCTTGAGTTTTTGTGATATCAAGAGGTTGAGGGGCAGTGAGCAAACAATGTATGGAGCAATCCTGCTTCCATGTCTGTTTTGCCCAGTGTGGCATTTAAAAAAATAAAAAATAAACTTAAAATCAAGCAGTTATGTACAACGGACAAATTAAATAGGAAAGACATTGTAAAACCCAAGGCACTTAATACATAGGACCATGACCTAATTTGATGAGTTTTGCTCCCGAGCAGAGTCTTTAAGGGGACACTATTGTCACCAGAACAACTACAGCTTATTGAATTTGTTCTGGTGAGTAGAATTATTACCTTCAGGCTTTTTGCCGTAAACACTGCTTGTTTCAGAGAAAATGCAGTGTTTACATTACAGCCTAGTGATAACTTCACTGGTCACTCAGTTAACCTTCCTGGGTCATGGCTACCTAAAATGCATCAAAACATCCAGTATCTCCTCCCTCTGCATGCAGACACTGAACTTTCCTCATAGAGATTCATTGATTCAATTCAACTCTATGAGGAGATGCTGATTGGCCAGGGCTGTGTTTGAATTGTGCTGGCTCTGCCCCTGATCTGCCTCTTTGTCAGTCTCAGCCAATCCTATGGGGAAGCATTGTGATTGGATCAGGCTACCACTTCTGCTGATGAAACCGGGACAAAGCCAGCAGCTTCAGGCTTGAATACAAGTAAGATGTTACAAGATTTAGGGAGGCATGAGGGGACCAGGGGGGCTAGATTGTGTTTTTAACCCTATAGGGTCAGGAATACATGCTTGTGTTCCTGACCTTATAGTGCTCCTTTAACTAAGGACATCTCCACACTTTATCAATTATTACTGCACAATATAGACATAGCTTCACCCAAGTTTCAGTCTTATTGGGAAGAGGCCTTGAATATGACATAAGTGGACAGCAAAGTTCCAAACTCCTATTATTGACTCACCAAGGCTCTATATGCAAAAAATACCAAGACACCCATTATAAGATTTAACTAAATGGTATAACACACCCCAAAAGGTTCCCATGGATGTCTTCTTTGTGCTGGAGGTACCGGGGGCGGTCGTTTTTGGTATTGTCTGCTTTATAGAACTATTTTGGGGGCAGGCATATAATGTTGTGACTCAGGTTGAGGATGAAGAACTAGGTTTCCACCCTGCGGATATGTTATTGTCCTACACTAAGCTTCCCATTTCTAAATCTAAAAAAGACGTTCTCCAAGCACTTGTGGCTGCCAGCGAGAACACTGATCCCTGCTTTCTGGCCCTCAGCCCCCTCATTCACTAATTGGTTCGACAGGGTGGAGGGAATTAGGATAATGGATGAACAGCAAGTTTACTGATCAGGGCAGAAAAATACTAAGTAACCGAAAAGAAAGCTCGGATCACTGGAAATCCAGTGATTTGAGCATGTACTGGAACTCTAATGATAGATGTAGTATAGTTGATTATAAAGATACAAAGATATATATATATATATATATATATATATAAATATCAAAACCCTTGTCCAGACTATAAGGTCATCCCAATGTGAAAAATACTAAGTAATATGGAGAGCATAGCTGTCCTATATGTCTCGACATGAGAGATCAGTCTCTTCTCTCACTACCTCAATGCAAGACCACCCTCGGACTCTGGGGGATTCAGGAGGGATTCCCAGGTGGCCCCCTCTAACCAGTTTTTGATTTCCCAGTCCCACCTCCCCCATCACTGCCATCTTCTTCACACTAGATCTCCTCCTAATATCTATCTATCTCATCCATATTTCACCCTTCCTTTTATATGTCTTCACACTGATTATCTAGTCAGTCAGCCTACGGTCAGCTCAGTTAGACCACACAAGTTGAACATGGGAAATTATAACAATCATACAATGCTACTTTAATGCCTTGGTTTGACATGAATATGCAAAGCAAATGATTTAAGACGTCAACTATGCTGTACAGGAAAATAATTATGACCCCAAATGTGGCTACATATCATAGCCTGTACTAACTACGCTTTTGTTTCCTCTTTTCACTGTGAAATGTGAACCTAAAAATGAAAATAAAATAAAGATGGAAAAAAAAGAAAAATAAATAGAAAAGACACACACATATATATAGTGTTTTAAAATATCAGCCAAAGAGCCAGAAGTTAAAATTAAATTGACCCAACGGCATAGTGCAGCAGTACGAAGTGTAGTATAAATGTGATTGACAAAGTATATATTACAATACAAATACTACATTGAATCATGAACTTTGTGTGTGTAATCTGTAATCGTGACCCCGGGCTGGGGGAGAGTGTGTAACCTTTTCAATCTATACTAAGCTCATGTTGGTTTTGGGATCCTCCAAGTTATAATGGCTACATGTCTATTGTTGTTTCTGTTAGACCTCCTGTGTTGTGTACTAGAGGTGTGAAATTAACCCCTTAAGGACACATGATGGAAATATTCCGTCATGATTACCTTTTATTCCAGAAGTTGTCCTTAAGAGGTTAATTTCGTATACCCTGTGATGAATTACCTGTAAAATGGGTTATCATTTTATCAGGTCATTTTACTGCATTCAATAGTTCTAGCTTCATAGTGTGTTTTGGAATAGAACTTCTGTTGATAATGTTTGACATAAGGTGCAATGGGAAGAATACATGCCATAGCCTATATAATTATCAGAGATAAAACAGACCATTGTATCAAAATACCTCTAGTATTATTTCTTGTTTTTACATTATAATTTGGTTATATTTGTTTTTGGAGCTCGGTTTTAAACCTGGCAAAATGGCATCTTTATGGGCCCATCATTCAATATTCTAGATAGATACAGTAGACAGGGGCGACAGAAAACATTGTCTTCTGCTGAGTCTCTGCAGACTTTAGGAACTAAAAAAAAAAAACAACAAAAAACCACTTCCAGTTAATTTGTGTAAAAGCTTGTCATCTGTATAATATGTCCGATAGCATTAAACCCTAATATTTCTATCATTGAAGAATAATTTCTCAGTGAAACCCTTTTCTATGAATAAGTTCTTATAAAGATCAAACTGTGTGTGTGGTTTGGTGATCTTTCCATGCTTACCCCCCCATCCTCTGCCCACGCTTGTTTATGTTTTAAGATTTTAACTGATGCTTG